AAGTTTGATAGTTGTTATGAAAATGGCGCCAATTAATTCCTTTATGCGACGACGTTTTTCCAAGGTATTTTCCATTTCTGGGGTGTTTTTGATATTTGGTTAGGTATATTTATATATGTAAAAATGTCTCATAATTTGTGCAAAAGGCTGTACATCCGAGCTATATAATAATATATATATAACGGCGGACCCATCTCTGTCCTCTTAAACACGCTGCCGGTTGAAAAACACTGAAGCAAACATTTGTTGTATTAATTTACAAAATACTACTCCTACGCAGTTGCATCTAATATATTATTCCTCTCAAATACAAACTTCACAAACAATATTATGAAAAACAAACTCGTTTATAAAATTAATGCGAACAAAATTATGTTCTTATTGTAATTGTCATGCATTAAAATGTACTACTGCGCACTTTCATTTCTACTTTCTTTAAACTTTGATTAGCGTACCAAACAATTCCTTTACTCGACACCTTGTTTCCAAGGTACTTTCCATTCAGATTAGATGGAAGACAATGTTTATACCACCAGGCACCGGTACAATATGTAGCACAGTTACCACTCCACTTGTCGTTATCTCTATCTTTTGTAGTAAACGCCATGTTGTTATGCCATTCTAACGAGTCCCCAGCAGTACCTGAATACGAGCCAACCCTCAGCCTGTACTTGTCTGATTCATCACCAACACTAAAACTACCATATTTGGCATACTTCCTACTTCCATACCAGTCCTCTACCTCAACGCGCAGACTCGACGCTGTTCCTGCAGTCAGTCGATAGATGTAATCGTTACCCAACCAAAACTCGCCATTCAGGTTTCCAAAACCTGTTTTGTATTGCTGCCAATTGCGATGGAAATCAACCGATCCATCTTGTCTTCTTTGGAACACAGTCCAACCCCCACCGTCAGTTGTCATGTCACAGTAGACTTGAAAAGCAGGCTGATTGTCGGGTTGAACTGTGTACACACCGTTACGTCTCTCTCCTGATTTGTAAAGGTCAGCGCAATCCTTTTTTTCAGCCACTGTTAACACGGTCATGGTTTCTGTATCAAACACTCCAGCACTCGTAGCAGTACACACAAACACACCCGAATCTGCTTTCTTGAAGTTCCTTATAATCAAAGAGCCATCTCTCACTTTATATCTGCCAACAGGAAGAACGCCGTTCTCTTTTCTCCAGCTGATGACAGGCTGAGGGTCACCTTTAGCGGTACAGTTTAACACTACAGGTATCCCTGGAGGTGATTTGTGTGACGATGGAGGTTTGACAACAAACACAGGCAGATCGATAACATTTACCATAATAGATCCTATAACAAAACCAAGAAGATTTTCAGCTTTGCAAACATATATCCCTGAATCATCTTTCTTCGATTTTAGTACAGTAAGCTGTCCATCCTTGAGAACGGAACGATTATCAGGCAAAGAACCGATAGACTTATACCACGTGACTTTTGGTTCTGGGTATCCAGTCACGTGACACGTTGGTAGACGAATGTCATCACCAATCGTTTCGTAGATGGTTCTTTTGTTCAAGGTCAGTAGTGGAGGGAAGTTCACTTGAAGTTTCGCTGTTGTTTGTGTGCTGCCAAGAAGATTAGAAGCCTTACACTGATAGATTCCTGAGTCATTGGCAGTCACGTGTTTGATATCAAGTTTGCCAGTACTATCAACTACTGCTCGTTTGTGTGGTAATGTACCGTTGTTTTTACTCCACACAACATCAGGTCGAGGATAACCACTAGACGAACAATGTAAGATGGCGGACTGGCTTTCATTGACGATGAGATGTGTTGGTGAAATGAGTACTGTTGGATGTGCTAAGGAAGGACCATGATCTCCCTTTGGTCCCTTTGGTCCAGGCATTCCTCTGGGACCAGGAAGTCCTATCTTTCCAGGAAAACCACGTGGTCCTCGTTTCCCTCGACGTCCAGTTTTACCCATGCATCCTCTCGGACCTCTCGGACCGGCTTTTCCTTGTGGACCGGGAGGTCCTGGAATGGGANATGCATGATTTTGAGAAGCCAGTAACTCGTGTAAGAAATTCGCCCCGTGTAAGAGAGTTGGAATCCGGAATCCTCTAGTCCTCTGGATTAGTCTTACATGGGGCGAAAGAAATTAAGCTTGCCCGATATATTCGATGTTTTTAAAGTCTTCTACTGGCCGCTTTCTGTTATGAAAACACAGTACTCGGCCAATCAGAACGCGCGTAGTATATCTAAGTTATTTTATAAATTATTTTAAAATCCACTAGTACGCATTTTCATTTCAGATTTCTTAAAAGTTTGATAGTTGTTATAAAAATGGCGCCAATTAATTCCTTTATCCGACGACGACGTTTTTCCAGGGTACTTTCCATTCAGATTAGAATCATGACATTCATTATACCACCAGGCACCGGTCATTAATGTAGCACAGTTATTACCCTCACTCTTGTCGTTATCTCTGTCTTTTGTAGTAAACGCCTTGTTGTTATGCCTAGATATCAACGAGTCCCCAGCAGTACCTGAATACGAGCCAACCCTCAGCCTGTACTTGTCTGATTCATCACCAACACTACAACTACCATATTTGGCATACTTCCTAGTTCCATCCCAGTCCTCTAACTCAACGCGCAGACTCGACGCTGTTCTTGCTGTCAGTCGATGGATGTAATCGTTACCCAACCAAAACTCGCCATTCAGGTTTCCAAAACCTGTTTTGTACTGCTGCCAATTGCGATAGAAATCAACCGATCCATCTTGTCTTCTTTGGAACACAGTCCAACCCCCACCGTCAGTTGTCATGTCACAGTAAACTTGAAAAGCAGGCTGCTTGTCGGGTTGAACTGTGTACACACCGTTACGTCTCTCTCCTGATTTGTAAAGGTCAGCGCAATCCTTTTTTCCAGCCACTGTTAACACGGTCATGGTTTCTGTATCAAATACTCCAGCACTCGTGGCAGTACACACAAACACACCCGAATCTGCTTTCTTGACGTTCCTTATAATCAAAGAGCCATCTCTCACTTTATATCTACCAACAGGAAGAACGCCGTTCTCTTTTCTCCAACTGATGACAGGCTGAGGGTCACCTTTAGCGGTACAATTTAACACTACAGGTATCCCTGGAGGTGATTTGTGTGACGATGGAGGTTTGACAACAAACACAGGCAGTTGGACAACATTTACCATAATAGATCCTACAACAGAACCAAGAAGATTTTCAGCGTTGCAGACATATGTCCCTGAATCATCTTTGTTCGCTTTTAGTATAGTAAGCTGTTCATCTTTGACAACGGAACGATTATCAGGCAAAGAACCGATAGACTTATACCACGTGACTTTTGGTTCTGGGTATCCAATCACGTGACACGTTGGTAGACGAATGTCATCACCAATCGTTTCGTAGATGGTTCTTTTGTTCAAGGTCAGTAGTGGAGGGAAGTTCACTTGAAGTTTCGCTGTTGTTTGTGTGCTGCCAAGAAGAATAGAAGCTTTACACTGATAGATTCCTGAGTCATTTGCAGTCACGTGTTTGATATCAAGTTTGCCAGTGCTATCAACTACTGCTCGTTTGTGTGGTAATGTACCGTTGTTTTTACTCCACACAACATCAGGTCGAGGATAACCACTAGACGACCAATGTAAGATGGCGGACTGGCTTTCATTGACGATGAGATGTGTTGGTGAAATGAGTACTTTTGGACGTGCTAAGGAAGGACCATGATCTCCCTTTGGTCCCTTTGGTCCAGGCATTCCTCTGGGACCAGGAAGTCCTATCTTTCCAGGAAAACCACGTGGTCCTCGTTTCCCTCGACGTCCAGTTTTACCCATGCGTCCTCTCGGACCTCTTGGACCGGCTTTTCCTTGTGGACCGGGAGGTCCTGGAATGGGAATCCAGTATTTGGCCGATTGTAAATTGGCAACAGCTTTTCCCACAACTTGATAGATTTTCTTTGATAATAAATCATCATTAATGGTGCTGTTGACTACAGTTGTAACATCTCTAACTTTTCTTGTGAAAACTTCTTTCGTTTTCTTTGCTTCTTGTTTCTCAAATGTCTGCTCTGAATGATGATCTTTGTCGAATTGATGGCCACTGTTCATGTCGTGTTTTGAAGTCATCTTGTCTGGCAGCTTGCTATCTCTTGAATACAGCTCGTTTAGCATCAATTCTGTTCTTAAAAACACACCACAGCACAACAACAAACTGACGACCGATAGAGTGATGGCAATCTTGGACACCAAGCAGGAATGACTGATTTTATCTGCCATATTTTAGTCAATAGAACAGCAAACAGGAAGACTGACGCAGTGAAAATGACCCAGTGTCACTATTTGTCTGTCATATCATACTTCARWGMGTGTCTCGGCATGCTATGGTATCTTATTCTTYGATACAAAAATAACTGACCTGGATGTCACGTRATGTGGRTTTCTGGTCAGAACTATTATATTAATATCAACGTGCTTACAATATCCTGGTTGCAATTGGAAAAATTATAGTCGCAAAATTGCCATTGGTGTTGAAAACGAGTCAGGACTCAAATGGGAAGCACTGAACGTGTTCTTCAGATATGGTGCGTCCGACATTACACTTCCGATGAAAGTTGAAAACGCCRAAGCTCTTTTGTATACTGCCAGGAAAAGTCACCGTATTTTTATGACGGGAACGTCTGCAGTTTTTACTTATTCAATGAGCGAAAAAACTGGAAGAAATCTCTGGAATAAATCGCGCGCCGTAAAGGTTGTAGATTTGATGTATATATGATGTAAATGTCCAAAATGATGTAAATTTGATGTAAATCATTTCCATCAAATTTCCATCATTTTGGACACTTACATCATATTTCCATCAAATTTACAACCTTTATGGCGCGCGATTTTTTTCCAGTGCGACAAGGCGCACGAAAAAAAAAAAACACACTTGGCAATAGGCTGATCTTTGTTTACAAAGAATTTTGCTATTTAGCAGAAAGTTTCAATAAAAAAAAACTGTAAAATAAGTTCATAAGGTAAATAGGGTTTATTAACAGCTATAAACTACGAACGTTTGTTTTTTCTTTACATGCACTAGTTTATGAGATATTAGCGTTCAAAGATATATGCTGAGTAGGACATCTCATTAGCTAATATCATACATCTAAAACTTGGACTATATACTCAACAGTTTGGCGCAAAAAGGATTTCATACGAGAAGTAAGCTCAAAATTGCGAGGAAAGCTTATTGTGCCATGTTGTTTCAATATTCAGTGCTGATTTATTGATAGTTAGGTTAAAACGGCATATGCTTATGCTAAGGATATGTTAACATACTTTCGTTACATGAGCTAGGAGCATTTCAGTTTAAAGTAGTAGACATTGTTTTGATTGTTTTSCTTTGCTTTAATTATCAAAGTAGTGTAACATTTTCAATATATATTTNACTGACCTGGATGTCACGTAATGTGGGTTTCTGGTCAGAACTATTATATTAATATCAACGTGCTTACAATATCCTGGTTGCAATTGGAAAAATTATAGTCGCAAAATTGCCATTGGTGTTGAAAACGAGTCAGGACTCAAATGGGAAGCACTGAACGTGTTCTTCAGATATGGTGCGTCCGACATTACACTTCCGATGAAAGTTGAAAACGCCGAAGCTCTTTTGTATACTGCCAGGAAAAGTCACCGTATTTTTATGACGGGAACGTCTGCAGTTTTTACTTATTCAATGAGCGAAAAAACTGGAAGAAATAGCTGGAATAAATCGCGTGCCGTAAAGGTTGTAGATTTGATGTATATATGATGTAAGTGTCCAAAATGATGTAAATTTGATGTAAATCATTTCCATCAAATTTACATCATTTTGGACACTTACATCATATTTCCATCAAATTTACAACCTTTATGGCGCGCGATTTTTTTCCAGTGCGACAAGGTGCACGAAAAAAAAACACACTTGGCAATAGGCTGATCTTTGTTTACAAAGAATTTTGCTATTTAGCAGAAAGTTTAAATAAAAAAAACTGTAAAATAATTTCATAAGGTAAATAGTGTTTATTAACAGCTATAAACTACGAACGTTTTTTTTTCTTTACATGCACTAGTTTATGAGATATTAGCGTTCAAAGATATCCCGGGGGGGGGGACTCCMTAATATCAAAGGGCGGGGGTCCTCGGAGTCCCTTTTAGGGTTTGAAATCAGTATTTTGGTCCCGCTTAGGGTGATGATGACAAGAATTCCTACCAACTGAGTTTTGTGGTCCCTTTTAGGGTATACGGCGACCCTAAGCAGTCATAAAATGGCAACGTCGTCATAAACTCAATACGAGCCGACGGTGTTCGATGATTGTGTAAAAACACAAATAAAATCGGTAAACCAAAACAAAATGACCTGTTATTGATTGGTCCCTTTTAGGGTTGAAATTTCAGCACTGCCACGCCCATCATCTCACAATARAGGTCCCTTTTAGGGGTCATTTTCACAATCTCCGCCGAGGACCCCCGCCCTTTGATATTAGGGAGTCCCCCCTCCCCGGGAAAGATATATGCTGAGTAGGACATATCATACATCTAAAACTTGGAGTATATACTCAACAGTTCGGCGCAAAAAGGATTTCATACGAGAAGTAAGCTCAAAATTGCGAGGAAAGCTTATTGTGCCATGTTGTTTCAATATTTAGTGCTGATTTATTGATAGTTAGGTTAAAACGGCATATGCTTATGCTAAGGATATGTTAACATACTTTCGTTACATACCCTTTGCTAACCAGCAAAGGAGCTAGGAGCATTTCAGTTTATGAAGTAGTAGACATTGTTTTGATTGTTTTGCTTTGCTTTAATTATCAAAGTAGTGTAACATTTTCAATATATATTTAATTTCGACTTAGATATATCCATTTTCAACGTAAGTCGATTCGACGCTTCAGTCGCATGGAAATCGTTTCATTCAAAGCCCTCTCATTTTCGTTTTCGTTTTTTGTTTGATTAAAATAGATTAAAACGCTTCATGTTAAAAAYATCCAATTGCTGATTATTAATGAATTTTATGTGTTAAAAAATTAAAATGTATACATTTTCAGTATTATTTCCACCATAAACTTTGATATAATATTGTTACCGTATTTACAGAATACAAAAATAAAACAATCCTTCAAGAGCTAAGAAATCTGCAATGGTTAAACATAATCATCTTCGCAATACGTAATCAAGTAGACTTGCCAAAGTCGAACTCGATTATTATTTTGCGAGCGAAGCAAGCTAGAG